TACATACATACATACATACATACATACATACATACATACATACATACGTGTTTGTGTGACAATTCTTAGCAGAAACAGCTAGTTTTGTGTTATTCGGTTTAAACCAACCAGATTCACTTACAGTTTCTTATATCCGAAATGAAAACAGCTAATCCTCGCATTCCATCTCCTTTCGACACAGCGGGCATTTTTGCAGGTTTCTCTCCGGCCTTATCTGTAAATGGAATTGACGCTGGTCAGCCTGGACTCAAGACAGAGTGGAAACGACAGCTTGGAGAGCTGCTGGCTGCGTCGCAGTTACTATCGTTTGTTACGACCTTATTAGTGAACCTTCTGTGGATGAAGACACTTTATGTCTACTGTTGATAAGCTCAGTCAGCGGTTAGTTGAATCGTAAAACGGCAGAGAACCAGTCAGGAGCAGGACAAATGAAGGTTTCCGTGGTTAGCTAACTTGTTTCCGCTGGCTAAAGCAAGCTAAAGCTATTTCATTCAATCCACATCCAGATTCCTCAATCAGCGAATTACACATATGGCAACACTTTTATGCAATTAAAAACATCCGCTTTTTGTATTTTACCAGACTTAATGTCATCGAAAGCACGGATAAGAATGTGATCCGCTAAATATCTACGTTACGTCAAGTCACGCACCGTTAAGCTAGCTAAACAGCTAGCTAGGTGACTAGCAATATAATCTAAATGCGAAAGAACACCAACGGCTGACCAGAATAAATCAGAAGTCCCACTTGTCAACCAGCGATAAACTCCGACTTTTGACTTTTTATGAGCCACTGACTTCACTGTGTAATTGATGTCCGTTGAAATTCCCAAGCTTCCTCTCACGGCTCAGATAAGGCTCGTGACACAGGAACAACATGAACGCGCATTACCCCAATGAACGCGCATTGTATATCATGAGCCGAATCTGGAGTGACAAAATTAAATGAATAGTATATCATGAAATACAAACCTTAAAACCGCCCATCAGTTATTAAAATGTATACTAAAATGATTTAAAAACATAAATAAATTCACACCCAAATACTTAAATAATTAGAAGCATCAATAGATAATTAAATAAATCATGAAGATAATAAGCTGAAGTACTTCTTGTAAATGTACTATAGATAGATAGATAGATAGATAGATAGATAGATAGATAGATAGATA